GGGGAGGATGCCGGGGATTCATTTTTTAGCAAACGGTAACGCACTTCGTGTTCCCAGAACTCCATTCTTGGGCATGATTTTGAATGCCCGGAGCCAACTGTAGGCCACTTCGTGTTCTTCGAGTTCCCAGAACTCCATTTTTGGGCATGATTTTGAATGCCCGGAGCCAACTGTAGGCCACTTCGTGGTCTTCGAGTTCCCAGAACTCCATTCCTGGGCATGACTTTGAATGCCCGGAGCCAATCGTAGGCCACTTCGTGGTCTTCGAGTTCCCAGAACTCCATTCCTGGGCATGATTTTGAATGCCTTGAGTCAACTGTAGGCCACTTCGTGTTTTTCGAGTTCCCAGAACTCCATTCCCGGGCCACATTTTGACTGCTGAGGCAGGCTGATGTTGAGGCCGAGGGAGGCTGAGGCTGAGGCAGGCTGAGGCTGAAGCCGAGGCTGAAGGCAGATTGAGGCTGAGGCTGAACAGGCTGAGGCTGAGGCTGAGGCAGGCTGAGGCTGAGGCTGAGGCAGGCTGAGGCTGAGGGTGAGGCTGATGCAGGCTGAGGCTGAGGCTGCTGAGGCTGAGGCAGGCTGAGGCAGGCTGAGGAGGCTGATGCAGGCCTGAGGCTGAAGGCAGGACTGAGGCTGAGGCTGAAGCAGGCTGAGGCTGAGGCTGAGGCTGAGGCAGGTTGAGGCTGAGGCTGAGGCAGGCTGAGGCCGAGGCTGAAGGCAGACTGAGGCTGAGGCAGGGTGATGCTGAGGCAGGCTGAGGCTGAGGCTGAGGCTGAGGCAGGCTGATGCGGAGGCAGGCTGAGGCTCAGGCTGACGCCGATGCAGGCTGAGGCTGAGGCAGGCTGAGGCTGAGGCCGAGGCTGAAGGCAGATTGAGGCTGAGGTTGAAGCAGGCTGAGGCTGAGGCAGAGGCAGGCTGAGGTTGAACTGAGGCAGGCTGATGTTGAGGCAGGCTGAGGCTGAGGCTGAGGCTGAGGCTGATGCAGGCTGAGGCTGATGCTGGGTGAGGCTGAGGCAGCCTGAGGCTGAGGCAGCCTGAGGCTGAGGCCGAGGCTGAAGGCATACTGAGGCTGAGGCTGAAGCAGGCTGAGGCTGAGGCTGAGGCTGAGGCTGAGGCAGGTTGATGCTGAGGCAGGCTGAGGCTGAGGCTGAGGCTGAGGCAGGCTGAGGCTGAGGCAGGCTGAGGCTGAGGCCGAGGCTGAAGGCAGCTGAGGCTGAGGCTGAAGCAGGCTGAGGCTGAGGCTGAGGCAGGCTGAGGCTGAGGCTGAGGCAGGCTGAGGCTGAGGCAGGCAGGCTGAGGCTGAGGCTGATGAGGCTGAGGCTGAGGCAGGCTGAGGCTGAGGCCGAGGCTGAAGCAGCTGAGGCTGAGGCTGCAGGCTGAGGCTGAGGCTGAGGCTGAGGCTGCAGGCTGAGGCTGCAGGGACTGAGGCTGAGGCTGAGGCTGAGGCTGAGGCTGAGGCTGAGGCTGCAGGCTGAGGCTGAGGCTGAGGCTGAGGCAGGCTGAGGCTGAGGCTGCAGGCTGAGGCTGAGGCTGAGGCCTGAGGCTGAGGCCGAGGCTGAAGGCACTGAGGCTGAGGCTGAAGCTGAAGCAGGCTGAGGCTGAGGCTGAGGCTGAGGCTGAGGCTGAGGCTGGCTGAGGCAGGCTGAGGCTGAGGCTGAGGCTGATGCTGGGCTGAGGAGGCTGAGGCTGAGGCCGAGGCTGAAGGCAGACTGATGCTGAGGCTGAAGCAGGCAGGCTGAGGCTGAGGCTGAGGCTGAGGCAGGCTGAGGCTGAGGCAGGCTGAGGCTGAGGCTGAGGCAGGCTGAGGCTCAGGCTGTGACTGCGACTGCCGTTGCCACTGCGACTGTCATCGCGAATGCGACTACGACTGCGAGGACAGCAGAATTCTACAACTGGATTATCATCTGAATCTTGAGGGGAATGCTTCCAGATATGCTCCTACACATCGCTGTTAGGTTGCTTTGCCGGGATAAGTCCAAAATAGTCTCCCAAGACGGCCCAAGCAGGCCCCGAGTCGCCGAAAGACCGCTCCAGGACGCCCAAGATAGGCCCAAGACGGCCCGAGAGGCCCCCCAAGGCACTCCACGACGCTTCAAGACGCCTCTCCAGAGCGCTTCAAGAGGCCGAAATCGTGAATGTTACAAGGTTTTCGAACGATTTTGGCCTTCCAGCCTTTTCGGTTGTCCGACGTTCCAAGACGGCTCAATAGGCCCCCGGGAGCGCCCCAAGACGGCCCAAGAGGGCCCCAAGACGGCCCCAGAGTCGCCCAAGACAGCCCAACAGAGCCCCAACACGGCCCCAAGATGCGCCCAAGAGGGGGACCACGACTCCAAAATTCGACCCTCCCGCTTGAAGAGTGCCCCAAGGAGCCCCCAAGAGGCCCCAGGAGGCCCCCAAGAGGCACCCAGGAGGCCCAAACGAGGCCTAAAGAGGCCACAAAACAGACCCGAGGAGGCCCCACAACGGTCCCAAAACGGCTACCGAGAAGCTGCGAAACTGCCTCCACGACGTCCCCGACAGGCCAACCACGAGATCCAAACCATCACCCATGAGGCCTCTGACCCACCACCCAGGGCACGGTGGCCGGAGCAGTGACAGCACTTGTGCACAGCATGTTTTGGCGGGAGCCTTCCGGAACACGCTGCAGGAGGAGGAGGAAGATCAGGAGGAGAGAGAGAGCTGGAGTGGGAGGAGGAGGAGGAGGAGGGGGACGAGGAGGAGGAGGAAGAGGCCTCCCAGATAGCTCCAAGATAGCCGAAGAGGCTTTCAAGAGGGCCCTGGGCGGCCCACGAGGGCCCCAAGGCGGTGCCTGAGGCGCCCAAGACGGCCCGAGAGGGCCCCAAGACGGCCCCAAGAGAGCCCCAAGAAGGGAAACACGAACCGAGAATCCGAGCTTTCTACCCCGAGAGGTTCTCGGCAAGTCCCAAGAGGCCCCCAATCGGATCCAAGAGGCCCCTGAGAAGCTCCCAAGAGAGCCGACGAGGTTCCAAGAGATCTCCCAAGGTGGCCCCAAGAGACACAACTCATTGTTTTACGATTGGGCTTTGACGGGTTTTACTTTTTTTCTGCCTTTTGGCATCCCGATGCTCCAAGACGGCCCAAGAGGCTTCCAATATCGCTCCCATATAGAGGAAGAGGCCTCAAAGAGGGCCCCAAGACGGCCCGCGAGGGCCCCAAGACAGTGCTTGAGGCGCCCGAGACGGCCCGAGAGGGCCCCAAGAGCCCCAAGAGAGGCCCAAGAAGGGAAACGCGACCCAACAGCAGAGCGGTCCCCGCACAAGGCCCACAGGAGGCCGCAAGAGGCCCCCAAAGGGTCCGACGAGGACCCCAAAAGCTTCCCGAGGGCCTAAAAGACCCCTAGGAGACGTCCAAGAGGTTTTAAAATAGCCCAAGAGTGCCCTCGATGCGTCAAAACTGCTTCCAGGACGCCCCCGGGAGGCTCCCGGATTGCCTCAATCTGGCAGCAGGTGGCCTCAAGTCGGGCTTCCACGCAGCCAAGACGGCCAATGACGGTTTCAAATTGCAGAACCGATGCCCCCAAGGGACCCTCAGACGCCCCCCCAAGAAGCACCCAAGAGGTGCCTCCAACAGCCATTTGACGAAGCATGCGGAACACCCCAGAAGCTCCTCAGATGCCGTCGCGCGCCTGTGCTTGATAGCGTTGTCCAAGATCGTCCAGCGCCCCCCCGACCTGGGCTAGAACCTGAGCGCGCGCGAAGCGCGCGCGATGGTTCGAGTATATATATATATATATATATATATATATATATATATGCGTAGAACCCCGCAGTCGCGGACAGGAGTGATGAGGCGGCGGGGTTCTGAAGTAGCCCGCCGGAGGCACTTAATCTTTACACATTGTACAACGCGATTTTTTGTTAAAGCAATGTGGGTGTGCCGCGGGGTGGTTCGCGGAAGGGTCGCGGATGGGTCGCGGGTGGGTCGCGGGTGGGTCGCGGGCCGGGTAGCGGGTGGGACGCGGGTGGGGTGCGGGTGGGTCGCGGGTGGGTCGCGTGTGGGTCGCGGGTGGATCGCGGATTGGTCGCGGGGTGGATTTTGGGTGGGTCGGTGGTGGGTTTCGGGGTGGGTCGCGGGTGGGTCGCGGGCGGGTGGCGGGGTGGGTCGCGGGTGGGTCGCGGGCCAGGTCGCGGGGGGGACGACGCCAAACAACAAACAAACGAACGAACGATCAAATAAATCAACAAACAAACAAACAAATAAACACAGCAGCGACAACACCAACAATCACAACAGCAAGAGCAACATCACCAACGACAGCAACAACATCAGCAACAGGAACAACAACACAAATCCGCATCGTTGAGTCCCACTTCAGCCACGCACCCAAGGATGGTGAATAACCGTTCGGCCCCCGCATTTTGATATATACACATGTGTGTATGCATGTACGTTTGCGTGTTTGCGTGTATCCATGAACGTATGTACGCGCTTATTTACGTAACACCCCGCCACCGCGGATAAGAGTGAGGGGGCGGCCCGGACGTCTGAAATCTGCGAGTCCATGCTGAAGCTTGCCGCAGGCGCTTAATTTTCACAGATTATACAACGAGCCCGCCGCAGGCGGCGATTTTTCGTCAAAGCAATGTAGGTGGGTCGCAGTGTGGGTCGCGGGTAGGTCAAGGGTGGGTTGCGGGTGGGTCGCGGGTTGGTCGCGGGCGGGTCGCGGGCCGGGTCGCGGGTGGGACGCGGGTTGGACGCGGATGGGTCGCGGGGTGGGTCGCGAGTGGGTCGCGGGTGGGTCGCGGGCGGGTCGCGGGTGGGGTCGCGGGTGGGTCGCGGGTTGTGTCGCGGGGGGGCGACGACAATCAATAAGCAACACTAGCAATAAGAGTCCGCATCGTTGAGTCCCACTTCAGCCGCGTACCAAGGGACAGTGAATGACCGTTCGGCCCCCTGCGTCCGATGATTGTGTATATATCGGTATAGACGTTCGAAAGAAGATGTAGTCCTCCTCAGTCGGCGATGCTGGGGTGTGGCAGGAACGCGAGTTGCTCGCCGACGTGGTCCCCAGCGACCGCATCTTGCGGTTCACCTCCGGCCTCCAGGATGGTTTGTGCGCTTCAGGGCGGCCTCGGTAATGCGTCGCGTAGGCGGGTGAAGGAGGAGGGCGAGAGGTGGAGGATGGCGCGGATGAGAGTGGACACATTGGGATCAGAAAGGCACGGGGTAGGAGTAGGAAGAGTGGAGGTGGAGGAAGATTATCGAGGGAGGTGCTTAATTATGGAAAGATGAAGCGCAGAAGCAAGGGGAGGGCGAGGCGAGGGAAGTGGGACGGGGGAAAGATACGAGAATGGACAGGGCGAGGGTGATTAGGTGCTGTGTGTGTGTGTGTCTGTGTGTGTGTTTGCGCGTGGGTGTGGGAGGAAGAGGTGGATGAGGAGGAGGGCGAGGAGGCGGACGAGGAGGTGGATGAGAAATGAGGAGGACGAGGTGGGCGAGTGTGGCACAAGTTGGTTTTGTTCGAACCCTGGTATCCTTGCTCCAGATGACGGATCCTTCGACCTCTGGGTGTTATTTTTTTCCCTCCTTACCATCCACCTGATTTCTTCATCCCCCCCTCCCCCCTTCCCTCCTTTCCTGTCTCCGCACTGTCCTCCGCCCCTTCCGCATCGTCCTTTGACTCCCCCGCCCCGTTCTTTTTTTAGCCCCACGCCGAGCGCCGCGCCCTCTTCTCCCCCTCCTCTTCCACTCCCTGTCCTTCCTGCCTCTTCTCCTCCTCCGACTCCGCCTCGGCCCCTCCCCTTCCCCCCCTTCCCCCCTTCCCCACTTCTTCTCCTCCGCCCCAGCTGCTCGAACTGCTGCTTCCGCTGCTGCGATTCATCCTTGGTTTCTCTTCCCTTCTCATATCTCACCTCATCCTGCCATTTCTTGGTCGCCCGCCTCCTCGTCCTCCTGGCCCTCACCCTTCCCTGTCTACTTCCTGTCCCCTCTCTCCCTCCTCGCCCCCCCCCCCCTTGCCCCCTCCTCATCTTCAGCCCTACGGGTAGGCACGCGTCTGCTGATGATCCCCAGCGCATTGCTGGAGTTGTAAGTCGTGCGGGAAACCTGAACCCACTCGGATAGGAAGGTGGAGGGAGATAGTTTTGTTCCAACCCGTTCCCATCCCCCCCGTCGAGTCTTCAACCTCGTCCCTCTTCCTCTCCTCCCGGTTCTACTCCGCCCTCTCCTCCTCCCTTTCCTTCTCCTCACCGTCCTTGTCTCGTCCTCCGCCGCTTCTTCCTTCATCACCGCTCCCCAACCACCCCCCTCCTCTTCTCCTTCTCCATCACTCATCCATGTCCCCTGCGAAGGAATGCGGAGAGGGGTAGATACGAGGGGAGAAACGTAGAGAGGTCAGGGAATCCAGGAGTATGTGGCACCCCGCAGTTGTGAATAGGAGTGGGGGGCGGGCGCGTGGTGGGTTGCAGGTGGGTCGCGGGCGGGACGCGGATGGGTTGCTGGTGGGTCGCGGGTCGGTCGCGGGTCGATCGATGTGGGTCGCGGGTGGGTCGATGTGGGTCGCGGGTGGGTCTCGGGTGGGTCGCGGGCGGGTCGCGGGTGGGTCTCAGGAGGGTCGTTGGTGGGTCGCGGGTCGCGGGTGGGTCGCGGGCCGGGTTGCGAGTGGCACTACGATTACTCCTTCAAGCAGCAATATTTTTTCATATAGTTCGGTATTATCTTCTCACGTGCCATTCAATACGTACATCCCAAACCCTCGATGCCCACCATCTTCGTCTTCGATTTCCCCCCATGGGGCATATCTTCCTCATCTACTACGTGTAGTTGGCGTAGCCCTTAAAACAGGAGAAGAGAGTGAGGATGGAAGAGGCAATGAGAGAGGGAGAAGGATGCAGCACAGCAGAGATTTGCAGGAGGAGGGTTAGGAGCAGGAGCGGGTCGGGCAAGCGGACCCTAACGGGCAGGTCGGTCGGGCAGGCCCAAGCGGTTGGGTCGAGCGGGCGTGTCGTTGAAGCGTCAACCCAACATGAATCGCTAGGAAGTTTTGAGTGATAGCGCAATTCCCAAGTACATCGTGAGAAATGTCGGACCGAGAGCGTAATTTCTTGAGTCTTGTGGGCACGGCGCTGCACTGATTGTGAAGAAGTACCATGCGAGAGCGCGCCTTCCTCGATACATTCTAAGCAAATCCCGCGCCAGAGCGCGTTTTCTCAAACACGCTATCAGGAAGTATCTGGCGGTAGCCGCTGTTGCTATCAACTGGGGGCCAGAGGGCTAGTCTGAGCACCAACACTTCCACATGCAAATCACAGGGTGCCAGGCCCGGGAGGAGCGTTTTGATTGAAAAATACATGATCGGGAGGGGGATCAATTATAATTAGGTGTTATACTTGAGAACGCAGCAGTAATTCAAGCACACATCATGTTAAGGTTGTTTGTTCTTACCTGCGCGCGTGCCATTCAACAGGTATACGCCAGACCCTCGATACCCGTCCTCTTCGTCTTCGATCGTACCCCTTTGGGGGCATATTTTTCCTACCAGCCGCGCGTAATTGGTGCAGGCCCTATAACGGGGGAAGAGAGAACGAATGAAAGGGGGATGGAGAAGAATGGAAATCGGGATTTGCGGGAGGGGGGCTGGGAGCAGAAATCACGTTGCAGAACAAGACGCGCTGACCGGGCGGGCAGGCTCTACTCGGTGGGTCTGGAAGGCGGGCGCGAGCGGCCAGGTCGACCAGGCGTGTTGCTGAAGCGTGTGTGTTGCACGAATCGCGAGGGCGTCTCGAGCGATAGCGCGATTCCCAAGTGAATCGGTCGAACAACAAGGGCCAAAGTGCGCTTCATGTGCGTCGGGGGCGCGGCCTTTGAATACATTCCGAGGGAGTCCCCACGCGAAGGCGCGATTGCTTCATACATTCAATGTAATTCGTGGCGAGAGTGCGATTTCTCAATCAAGTGTGGCACAGTATCAGGCAGGAGCCGCCGTGGTTGTTGCAACTCGGGGCCAGGGGCGCGGTGTGGCGACCCCACACTGTTTTGTGGATGACGCGAGGTGCGAGGCCCCGGGAGGAGCGCTCCCACCGAATATCACAATGGTCACCGGGCAGGGGGGATCCATAACAATTTGATGTGCGTGGGGGATGGACATTCAACAACACCCACAGCAACAACATGCAACAATCTGCTGATTCGTGTGGAATGTTCGCTCCTGTGTTTCGCGTGCGAGAGCGCGATTTCTCAATACGCTGTCAGGAAGTCTCAGGCGGGAACCGCTGTTGCTAGAAAACCTGTAGCGAACAACGCAGTTTGGTGAACCCAGACGTTCCCAGGGGGACAAAGGGTGCGAGCCCCGGGGCGAACGTTTAGATTGAAAATGAACGTCACCGGAAGAGGGACCAACCATACTTATTCATGACAAGTGAGAACCCAACAACAACAGCAGCAACAACAACATTCATGTAAGCTTGTTCGCTCTTTAGCTGCCCACGCGCCACTTAACACGTGTATCCCAAACCCTCGATTCCCGCCCTCTTCGTCTCGATGGTACCCACATTAGGGACGTCTCTTTCTTACCTACACCCTCTTTTTCGTGCAGCCCCTGAGGCAGGGGAGGAAAGGAGGATGGATGGAAGGAAGGGCTAGTAGCAGAAAGTACGTGGCAGAGCTGAACGGGCAGACCGGGTGGTTAGACCCTGACGGGCGGGTCGGAAGGGCGGTCCCAGGCTGCCAAGTCGAGCAGGCGGGTTGCTGAAGCGTGCGTCCTGCTTGCGTCACGAGGAAGTTTCGAGCGATAGCGAGATTCCCAAGTAAATCGTGATGGCATCCATAGCGAGAGCGGATTCCTTAGTGTGGAGGGCCGGGCGCTTGAATACATTGCGAGAGGTTCCAGGCGAGTGCGCGAATCGTGTATAAAGTGTGAGTGGGTCTTACGCGAGAGCGCGATTTTGGAAAACAAAGTATTAAGTCGACAGCTGCTGATGCTGTGTTTGTTAAACTGTCTCTCTTTTGAAGAGTAAGTATTGTTGATCCCCCCTCCAGCGACCATCGTTTTTTCATTGAAATGCATCCCTTGGGGCTCGCACCCTTTTTTGTTCAAAACAACACATCACGGGAAGTCACTCGGATTACAACAACGGGTCCCGCTTGAGACTCCCTCACACTTTAGCCAGGACCCCCGCTCCCGCCTGAGACAGCCTCGCATTTTACTCTGGAATCGCGTTCTCGCTTGGGATTTTTTTACATTGTTCCCGGAATCGCTCTCTCGGCGCTTTGGAGTCGCGCTTTCGCTGGTGACCTGCTTGCAATTTGTGTCAAGAATCGCGTTTTTGCGGTGGAGTCCCTTGCAACTTTCTCAAGCGCCGCGCTCCCGACACTCAGGCACCCAGGAGCCGCGCTCACGCCGAGGACTCCCTCACAGCTTACTTAGGAGTCGAGATCTCGCTGCCCTTCTTTGCCCCGTCGCAGCCCTTCGTGGCCCCCTCGCTGCCCTTCGTGGACACATTGCAGCCCCTCGCGGCCCCCTCGCTGCCCTTCGTGGCCCCGTTGCACCCTTTCGTGGCCCCTCGCTGCCCTTCGCGGCCCCGTTGCATCCCTTCTTTGCCCCGTCGCAGCCCTTCGTAGCTTCTTCGCTGCCCTTCGGGGCACCGTTGCATCCCTGCGTGGCCCCCTCGCTGCCCTTCGTGGCCCCGTTGCAACCCTTTCGTGGCCCTCGCTGCCCTTCGTCGCCCCGTTGCAGCCCCTTCGTGGCCCCGTTGCGCCCTTTCGTGGCCCCTCGCTGCCCTTCGTGGCCCCGTTGCAGCCCTTCGTGACCCCATTGCTGCCCTTCGTGGCCCCATACATCTATGCATGACCTTCGTGGCCCCCGCTCGTTCGCGCCCGTCGTGGCCCCATCTGCATGCACTCGGTGGCCCCGCTGTCGCCCTTTGTGGCCCCTCCGCTGCCCTGCGTGGCCCCGTTGCTGCCCTCAGCGGCCCCGTCGTTGCCCTCTGTGGCCCCGCATTGTCTGTCCTCCGTGGCCCCCGCTCGTTCGCGCCTTTCGTGGCCCCAGACGCATGCCCTTCGTGGCCCCGTCGTCGCCCTTCGTGGCCCCCTTCCTGCCCTTCGTGGCCTCGCTGTCGCTAGCGCTCTCGCTCTCGCCTTTGCTCGTCGTCGTCGTCGTCGTCGTCGTCTTCGTGGTCGGTCCCCTGTCCGTCCCTCTTAGGGTCGGGTTGCCGCCGGTCAGCGCTGCCGCTGGCCAGGCCGACGGTCCGCGGCCGCCCCACCGCTTGCTGGGGCCCAGCCTGCAGGGAAGAAAGATAGACCCCCCCAAAGGGGCACGATCGAAGACAAATAGGGCGGGTATCGAGGGTTTGGGAAGTTCACATTGGATGACACTCGAGCAGATGAGAGCGAACAGCCTTGACATGATTGTTGTTGTTGGTGGTGTTGTTGGTGGTGTCGTTCTTGTGTCCCGAGTGCGAGCCCGTGGAAAACATTTGAATCGAACGTATACAATTGTTGCCGTAAAGGGCCGATCAACCATCTATTTATGTTTGTAGAACGGAGAATTCAACAATCCGCACCGCAGAACCCGAATTCAGACACGCGACGAATAATAACTGCTCGGCCCTTCTCTATGATAAATTCGATCTCGCGCGGCGCGGCCTGGGCAGGGACGCAGTCCTTGTCTGGGCGGTGCGATGGCACGAGAAACAATGTGTTTCGTGCACAGTGCAGTGCGAAGCGGCCTGGAAGAGGCGATGGGGGCGAGGGACGGAAGGGGAGGGAAAGGGAAAGCCGCTCCCGTCTTCGCCCCCATCAGCGAGACCCTTGCCACGACGACAGCGACGATTGCGACCTCGACGGCGACTGCGACGACGAAAACGACCGCGACGACGAAGACGACTGCGACGACGAAAACGGCGACGATGCCAGCCACGAGGTCAGCGACGGCCAGTCGACGACGACGACGACGACGACGAGTCCCCGGACAGGACGAGCGCGCGCGGCTCGCGCAGAGGTTGGAGAAGCTGCGCCAGCAGGACGCCTCGCGGCCCGCTTCCCCCGCGCGGGCGGAATGGGCTGTCGCGTGCGCGTTTTTGAACTGTTGGGAACTGGTCCCAAGGGAGACCGCGGCAGACGTGTGAATCTAAATTCTAGTGTTTTTGCGACGACTATGGGATTGGTGACCGGGGAGTAGCAACCAAAGACACGTATTCTTGGAGTTGTATGCGAGGACGTGTGTTTCACCACGTGAGCGCCTGCTAGCTTTCACCCGCCTGTTGCCTATGCGGTCGCCCCTCCGCGGGCATACAGGCTTGACCCCTTGACCCCTGTGCTACGTGCAGCACCCCCGATGAGGCTACGGACGCGGTGCGTGTTCGCCACCGCTGCGGTTGAAAATTGTTCGCATGGTACGGTATCCTCCCTCCCTCGTCCCCCCTCTGGCAGACGTCAGGCTGCGGCGTGGGCTTTGCGCTGTCGCGCGTGGGCTCAGCCGCGGGCGAGCCCGCAGTCGAGCCGCTACGCGGCGGACGTGGGTTGACATCTCTCTGGTCCTGCGCTGGCCAGGTACATCCCCATCGCCTGGGCCTCGGGACCTCGGGAGGCTCTGGATATGCTCTTCGCCTCCCCCCCTGCCGCAGGGCCCGAATATGTCCACATCCGCCGCCCCCACGGTGTCCTGGGATGTCGGCTCTCCGGGTGGTGGACGTGCGTAGATTCGGGCTTCGACCTTCAGTCTGGGGGGCGCCGACGACGACCTTCGACATCGTCGTCGTAGAGGTTCAGCGGAGGAGCGGCCGTCGTCGTCGTGGGCGCTTCGTTGTTGTCGGCGTCGATGCCATTGGCGACTATCCTCGGCGTCGTGGTGGGCGTGGTGGTTGTCGTCGTGGTGGTTGTCGTCGTGGTCGTGGCCGTGGTCGGGGTGGTCGTCGTCGTCATCGTCGTCGGGGGACGTTGGAGAATCGCGAGCACCCCTGGAGGCCCGGTTCCAGCTCGGACGCCCGCGAAGGCCCACGCCGAGGCCCGCGGCCGCTGGGCCATACGCGATTTGGCATTTCGAACTCTTCGGAGCGTCCTTGTGCAGTTTTAACGCCCTCCATCATGGTTTTGTGATGTGCCTGGACGTTTATTGGACCTTTTGGCGCCTTTGGAGGCCCCACGGTTTCTGGGACACTCCAGAGACCTTCGAGCGAGGGGGGGAGCTGAGGGACCGTTCCTCGAGTGCTGAGTATGGTTCTATAGCTTTTCTGGGCTCCTTGTCGGAGGAGAACGTGCCGTTATCGAGACCAGTCCCACCAGCCCTCTGGGCGTCGGTGGTTTAGAGCGTTTCCTCTTCCACCCCTCCTTCTTCCCCTTCGGGGAGGGGTTTACCCCTCCACCTACCCCCTCCCCACTGACCTGGACAGGGGGCTCCGCGGCGCGCTGGAGCGCCCAAGATCGACCCCTGGGAAGGCTAAAATTCGAACCCCCTTCACGAGGATCGTGGCTCCTGGGGGGGGACTCTAATTAAGGAACCCCTCTTCTTTGATCGATTTCCTCCACGATGGCCGCAAGAGGCCCCCAGGATGCCCCAAGAGGCCGCAGGATGGCCCCAAGATGACCCCAAGAGGCCCCCCAAGAGGCCCCCAGGAGGCCCCCAAGAGACCCCCAAGGGGCCCCAAGAGACCCCCCAGCGGCACCCAAGGTGCTCCCAGAGGCCCCAAGATGGCCCCAAGAGGCCCCAAGAGGCACCCAGGAGGCCCCAAGAGGATCCCGAACGGCCCACAGAGGCCCCCCCGAGGCACCCAAGACGCCGAAAAGCCCCTCAGGACGACCCTCTACTCGCCTGGGCGTCGTTTCTGGACGGGCTGGTGGGGATACGCGAAGCGTCTAGAATCCCACCAGCCCTCTGGGCGTCGATGGTTTAGAGCGTTTCCTCTTCCACCCCTCCTTCTTCCCCTTCGGGGAGGGGTTTACCCCTCCCCCTACCCCCTCCCCACTGACCTGGACAGGGGGTTCCGCGGCGCGCTGGAGCGCCCAAGATCGACCCCTGGGAAGGCTAAAATTCGACACCCCTCACGAGGATCGTGGCTCCTGGGGGGGGGACTCTAATTAAGGACCCCTCTTCTTTGATCGATTTCCTCCACGATGGCCGCAAGAGGCCCCCAGGATGCCCCAAGAGGCCGCAGGATGGCCCCAAGATGACCCCAAGAGGCCCCCCAAGAGGCCCCCAGGAGGCCCCCAAGAGACCCCCAAGAGGCCCCAAGAGACCTCCCAGAGGCACCCAAGGTGCTCCCAGAGGCCCCAAGATGGCCCCAAGAGGTCCCAAGAGGCCCCCAGGAGGCCCCCAAGAGGATCCCTAACGGCCCACAGAGGCCCCCCCGAGGCACCCAAGACGCCGAAAAGCCCCTCAGGACGACCCTCTACTCGCCTGGGCGTCGTTTCTGGACGGGCTGGTGGGGATACGCGAAGCGTCTAGAATTCCTCGTCTTCGCCTCGTCGGGCCTCCCTGGGGGGGAGCACTCGCGGCCACGGCTGCTGGACTGGCTTCGAAGTCCACGGGCCCCGCGAGGGATCCGTGGAGCGGCGGGCCTCGGCGTCTGGGTATGTTTTGGCTGCCCCCCCCCCCCGTCCGGAGGCCTGCGCCTCGCGGTCTGCACATGCCGGCGGAGAGCCCCAGGGCTCTGGGCCTGCTCGGGCGCTCCGCCGAGAGGACGGGAGGGACAGCCGCGCCCTGCGGCGCCGGCGGAGGGTCTGCCCCTCGCGGGAGGCGCGACGGGCGCGCAGGCAGGGCCAGCCGTCGGTGAGATGTCTGTGCCGTCGGTGCTGAAGGGGCGGGGTCAATGCAAACGGGGGTCGGTCAGAGCGCCTGATCCTGCAGATTCCTGCAGAGCCAGGGCTGCACTGACCCAGGCTAGCGCGCAGGATCTTGCAGGATCCTGCTAAGCCTCACTGTCCCGGGTTTGGATTGACCCGGGTCAGCCGCATAGTAAGGACGCGCAATTTTCCAAGATTGCCTTTGCATCCTCCCCTCTTTGTCCATTCTTTGCCGTTTTCGCTGGCCGCGCCCCGCTCGAAAAAATTCAACATGGCTGTCCAAGGCCCTTGCATCCTTACCACGCGTCCTGATTGTACGGGCTGACCGTCGTCAGGATGTCTGGGGCTCCGGCGCGGACAGCGTCCCCACGTCCACGGCCTTGCGGCCTTGCGGCCCCGCGACCTGGCGGGGGTCATGGCGGACGCCCGCGCCGAGCGACCTCACGGGATCGCGCCTCCAGGAGATGGAGCTTCGCCAGCGGGTTTGCATGTACACCGATTTCTGCTCGTCGCTTGCAGGGGGCTGTCGCCCCCTCTGGGGCCCTTCGAACGCTTCCGCCCGCCGCTGGCTCTCCGCCCCGAGGACTCTAGTGCGCAGGCGCTCTGCGACCAGGCGTCGGAGAAGGCCCTCCCGGACTCCCGCCGCCGCCACTGTCGTCGGTCGTCACCGGCCTCGGCCGTTGTCTGGCCGTCGGTCGGCCTCGGTCTCGGCCGCCGCCGTCGTCGTCTGTCCTTTGTCGGTCGTCGTCGGCCTCGGCCGTCCGTCGTCCTTCGTCGTCGTCGGCCGTCCACCTTCCGTTGGTCGCCGTTCGTCCGGGAGCGCTGGGGCGTTCCGCAGTGTGCAGTGTGTTGCCTGTTGTGCGCTCTCTGCCGCCGCTCTCCTCCGAGCCTCGCCTCTGGCCCCTCCTCGAGTGGCCCAAGTGGTGGATCCCCGGGAGGCCCAGTGCGCCACTCCGAGGGAGGGGCCCGTCTGGCGAGAGTCACCGACCTCGCCCGGCACGGGAGACGGAAGCAGAGTGGCGCTGTCGGTTGCACGTCAGAGTGACCCCCTTTCGCCGGAGTGACTTTTGGTGCGGGCTCCTCGGGACCCCTCCGATCGCTGAGCGCGATGCGATGGCGGCTGCTTGCGCGCTTGGATTCGGCCATTGTGCGCCCCATGACGCAGGGCACCAACGGTCACTCGTGCTTAATTAGGTATAATCGGGCGTGTCCCTTTACAGGAGGAGTATTCGAAAATAGTCAAAAAGTAGTCTGGGGAGAATTTCTCTAATGTGTTTGACTGTTTCGAGTTTTTGTTGATTATATCCGCCCGACCTGAGCTTGGGGTCGCTCTTGCGTGTAGCCGACTGAGGGGCAGCTCTTGGCTGGGCAGACCCCCGCCTGCGAGGCGTGCCGTGGACTGCCGGCCGACGCGCCAGGGCCGCGGATGGGGTGGAGGAGGAGTGGGGAGGAGAGGGAGGGAGAGGGAGGGATTCAGAGGAGCAAGAGATCATGATTATTCATGATGCGGTCCAGGCTTCGAAGAAGAAACAACGGCATAAACATAAACTGTGGCGCTCCGCGCGGATTTCTTGGATCCGCGCTGGGCCCCCATGGGCGGCGCCTCCGGCGCCGCTCCTGGCGCGCTCCGCGCGCCAGGGAGGGGGGTCTGGCACGGATCCAAGAAATCCGCGTGGAGCGCCAACAGTGTGTGTTTATGGAGTTGTTTTTCTATTAGTGATGCGTTCCAGGATATGCCAGGTTTCCAGGATTCCTCATGTTTCCTGATGTTTCGCACCGCCTGCGCCGCTAGATGCTTGGAAATCCTGGATCGTATTTTGAGCCAATCTTATCATGACATCGAGGGGAGTGACCAGCAGGAAACAGCTGGAGGAGTAGGAGGAGAAGGAGTAGAGAGGATCTGCGCGGGTGACGTAAAGGAGCCTAATGCTTGATTCCCGAACAACGAAGTCCAGAAGTGGACGCAAGCCGTGCCTGGGCAATTCGGTGAGCGCATGAAGCGGTATTTTCGGCCCCTCCCGCGCGAGCTGATGTCGGCGCCGTAGTTTATGTGAAAGGTGGCAGGTATGCTGGCGCTGTGCCCCAACACTCGGCGAACTTGCCTGCAAGCCAGCGGCCCGCCGCCTCCTGTCAACCCGCACATGCCGATCCCAGCAGTGAAGCTGATTATGACTACATGGCTCACGCTCATCCTCGAGCGCCGACAGCGTCCTGACAGTCCTTGCTGCCAGTGTCAGCTTTCGCCCACGAGCGGAGCCCAGCATGGTAGATTGCTGGTGATGTTGCCTGCCTTCTTGCACGAGCTGAGTCCGGCATTGCAGCTCATGATGCGTAACTCCTGCTCCGCCACCAGGTTCTGGCATCCGCCGCTGCCACCGCCTGCCTTCTCGCACCAGCTCCGCCCCGCCGCCAGTGCCTGCCCTCTCGCAGGAGCTGACCCCAGCACCAGGGGTGGACCTAAACGCTGTTTTGCTGGACTTCGGCTGCTTTGCTGGACCCTGGCTGTGTTGTGTTTTTGTTTTGGCAGGGAGGTACAGGAAGGTAGGTAGAGCTAAACGAAGCACATAACGAACACAAAAAAACGACAAACAACGACTGGGTCCAGCCCTGCCCAGCACCCAGCATCGAAGGTGGCGGTGCTTTGCTCCTGGTCCGCGCGCGGTGTATCGCAAGTCCCCCCAGGGCAGATCCCGACCATTTGCGAGTAATAAGTATTTTTTACGAGTAGCGGAACGCATTCGCCTATTGTCTCGGCGAGGGCCATCGAATAGCCTCGTGGGTCATCTTTCGGGAAAATACACACGAAGCAAGAACATGCATGGGGAGTGGACATCCGAGTGATGGCGGGGTCAGCGGCGCCGCGGCTGCGGTCGCCGCTGCTCGCCAGGAGCCTGGGGGGCTCGAGCGAGCGGGGGGGGCGGGCACGGCGCGCCTGCCCGCCGTGCTTCCGCCTTGTCTCGGCATCCTGGCTGATGGCACTTGAGCGACACAGGAATCATTCCTTCCTCCTCCCTCCTCCTCCCTCCTCCCTCCTCCCTCCCCTCTCCCTCTTCCCTCCTCCCGCCTCCCTCCCTCCTCCCTCCCTCCTCCCTCCCTCCTCCTCCTCCTCCTCCTCCTCCTCCTCCTCCTTCGCGTTACAGGATTGATATGTATGATCTGTCGTGTCTGGAGTATGGTTCGTGAGCCTGCCGTCCAGCAGTGGGCGTCAGAGACCCAGCCTGATTGGGACGCGGCGGTGAATGGCAACAGTGCTCTCCGTGAGGCGTATACGAAGGCGCTAAACGAGGAACGCTTCACTCGCATGAAGATGGCGAGCGGGCACGCGCTCATGGACATTCAGAGTTTCTATGGCATGATGGAGTGGGCCACCCTCGTCAAGGGGGCTGCTCGGTACGGATTCCCAGCAGCCCAGCTGGGGTTGGAATTGCAGATATGCGCGAACCCTAGGATGTTGGATCAGAGGGATGCAGTTTCGTCGCCCTTCCAGCCCACCAGGGGCATCATCCAGGGGCTGCGCAGCAGGACGCGCTTCGCGAGGTGCGTCACGGGCTTGATCATGGAGCGCCTCACCGTGATGCATCCCAGGCTTGCTGAACGCTTGTGGGCAGTCGGCGGTGGGCTCGTCCTCCAGTGTTCGGCACGACTTGATAGAAGGGGTGATTTCGACCTTCGACTTCTTGGCCGACGAGAAGCTGGAATTGACTAGCAAGAGCTCCATATCTTGCTCTTCGATGGCTAATGCTCGTGCAAGCGCCAAGGCTTTGAAGTAGCGGGGCATCGCGATGCAGTGTGCCAAGCAGATGGAGTACTTGGGCGTCGACCTGTTTTGTGGCAGACGCCATGGACGGGCCACGAGGCAGAAACGCATGGAGACCACCAAGCGCCAGCACCTCATGCTCAAGCGGTTTGCGACGTCGTCACGCAGGTTTCTGATATTCAAGAAGGTGGAGTTGGCGGGCCCGCAGGCTGGGGCTCGTTACGGCCACCAAGTGTTAGGCCTGCCTCAGTCGTCCTTGTTGCAGCTCAGGCGCAGGCTTGGCGGCGTCTCAGGTCACCGACGGGGGCGTTGCCTCGCGGCGCTGCTCGACCCGAGGGCGCCTGGGGCAGATCCAGGGTACGCGCTTCCTCGTCAGTGCGCCGAGCAGTGGTTCAAGTGCTGGTTGGACACGCCGCAGATGCGCCACGCGGTGGGCAAGGTTTGGCCCAGCAGTTCCTCAGCTTGGAGGCGCAGCGTCGTGCACGGCATGCCAGGGAACCTATCTCTGCCATCGCCCACTACTGGGTTGGAGCGAAGTGGGGCCTCAGGTCGGTCACGGAGTGGCACCCTCCCATCGGCACCGACCGCATGCAGCATGGCTGGAGTTTCGGATCAGAGTCGCTCGAGGCTTTCGACCAGGCAGACGAGCTCATCGATCACTTCGTGGGCACCCTCAAGCTGCAGCAGTGGCGCGCTGCGGCGGAGGGCTTCTGCGGCGGCGGCATGGAGCAGGGAGTAGACCATTTCTCGCTGCGCAAGTTTCTGTTTCAGCTCGAGCAGCTGCCCGGTTAAAGCCGCGAGCTGTCAGAACTCATGCCGTGCATAGCAGTCGGAGGTGCTTGGCTTGCTGCTAGGAAAAGTGCGCTCGATTAAGATATCCCGAGCGAGTGCAGCAGGCGTGGAAGGGGGCCCTGAGACTCCCGTCCACAGGTTTTGGAAGTGTGACTGCCATAAGGGCAATCCAGCTTTCAGCGCCTCCGATGCTCTCACCCCTCGTGCGTTGAACGATTTGAGAGTTTAGAGTGCTAATGGTTGCGAGGCCTCATCCCGTCTCAGATGCTTGAGGTCGATCCGCCACCATTCGAAGAAGTTTGGACTTGTAGCCATGATAATGATGAATTCGGTGATCGATTTTTCGGGGTAGGCACACCTGATCTACCCCTTCTGATTTGGGGGGGTGCTTCTGGGGGTGCTGATACTCACTATCCTAGACTTAGGCGTGTTGGAGTGGCTGTCGCCACGGCTCCCACCGCCGCCCCCTTGTCACAGCGATATGTGTATGGTCCCCTCCCGGGCCGTCACCAGACGGTCCCAAGGGGGGAGCTTTTCTGTTTTGTGGTAGCCGTGGAGCACTCTAGGGGTCCTCTAGCTTACATTACAGATAATGACGAGGTCTCTCGAGGCTTCTGGAGTAGGTGTTTTGAGGCCCTGCAGGGGCCCCATGCGGATCTCTGGCGGAGGCTGAGCGTTGCCATTCGAGTGTCGGATCGACACGTTGGCGATTTGTGCGTTCTCGAAGTTCCGTCGCATGTCGATGCCGCCGAAGCGATGGGCAGAGATCTCCCTAGCCACCTCATTGCAGGAAACGTCTTTGTGGATGCTCTAGCTGGGACGGCAGCCCGTCTCTTCAGCGCCCCAGCGGAGCAAAGTGCACGTGTTTATCGGATCGAGGGCGAGGTTCGTCTCATTCGAGAGCGGCTCTTACGGGCCACGTTGGAGTCGTGTAAGTTTGGTGGGAAAATGGCCAGGCGCTCTGCTGCCCCTGCCGTTGCCCCCGCCCCCCCGCCTCCTGTGTCTGTGGCTCTATTTCAGTCCCGCCATTCGGTTTGTGCTTGTGGAAAAAGATGTTCCCGCTGTCGGAGCTCCACCACAGAAGCTGGTCGAGCCCAATGGTTGTCCACAGATTGCTTCGACCTCTTCCCTGTGTCGAGCGTGCTTTCCAAACTGCCTCCGGGTCGGGATTTACAGCTCGCTGGGGGTGCGGTCCACGGTCCCCATATTCTGTTATAGCATAGTGGCCTTGACTTTGGGTTTCGCAGTTCCTGTGGAAGTTATGGCCGCTTACAGCTTCGTGGCCTGGCGGATTTGTGTGCAGCCCGTAGGGTCCCGCCAGTCCCTCTCACTAAGACGAGGCGGGAACACCTAGACCGAATTTCCCGTGGCCTCTGGCCTAAGGTGCTCAGCAAAGCCGAGCGGGCGGCTAGAGGTCTTTCTTGATGTATTAATTGGGGTTTGTGCGGGGCCCCTAGGTGGGTGTGTGTGCGCGTGCGGTTCGGTCGGACGGAGCGGCGAGCGCGGGCGCACGCGCTCGCGCGTCGCGCGCCCGCTTATCAAGCTCGGCACCCTGGACTGCCCGCCGCACCCCCCGCCCCCGCTCATGCTGCTTTTGATTTCGTCATTGATCTCGTCGTGTCTCGTCTCGTCTCCTCCTCCTCCTCCTCCTCCTCCTCCTCCTCCTCCTCCTCCTCCTCCTCCTCCTCCCTCCTCCTCCCTCATCCCTCATCCCTTCTCCCTCTTCGCTCCTCCTCCTCCTCCCTCCTCCTTCCTCCCTCTGGTTCGGTTTCGCTGGCTTTTGATGGTCCCAAGGCCCGAAGAGCACCGCCAACCAAACCACCTAAACCCAACCCAAAGGCCCAGATTTGCTCTCCATTTTTAGCAAGGGGGGGTCGGGGAGCATGGGAAAAGCACGCATGACATTCGCATTCCCCCAATCCCCAAATCGGAATCTTCGGGTTAAAGTGGTGTGGTCTGGTAGGTGATCAGAAGAGGCATGCTGTTCTCGGATTGTCTCTGTTTCCAAGCCTCTGGCGGTCTGGGGGTGGCAGAGGAGTGCAGGGAACGGACCTGGAGGGGGCTGGCAGGCTCCCTGCCTGTATGTCCGTTCGCCTTCGGCGAGATTTAAGCCGGGCGGGTCCCTCTACAGGGGGAATACTCACAACTTAGCAGAAAATCGTATGGGAACGATTGTTTAAGAAACAAATGGTTTATAAACCTGCCTGTCCGGGGACATGCCCGACATGAGGCGAGATGGACCCCCCTGCGCGCCGCCACGCCAGTCTTGGGCAAATTGTGCTGTCCATGCAGGCTGTCCTGCGGGCGATCGCGCGCAAGTTGCCTGCGTAAGTTCGCGGGCGAGTGCCCTCGTTTCCAAGGCAGCGTGCCGCGTTGTCAGCCTGCGCAAGCCCCGGCGTGAGGTTATATGTGCCATCTCGCGTAAGACCCGTCTGTTTTCGTCGTTCATTCGGCGCCACGCCTCTTGGGGTCGGCGCTCGTACGCATGACCACTCCGCACCACGCGCACGAGCCACCCACGCGTCCCCCGCGCAGGCGAGCGCCGTTTGGTCGCGAAGTTGGTAGGAGCAGTAAGGGAGGAGCGGGAGGAGGAGGGGGAGGCGAAGGGGAAGGCAGGAGGAGGAGTGGGGACGTGGGAGGAGCGAGCGGGAAAATGGACGAGGGCAAGAAGGCGGAATAACTCCTTCCGCCCATTCTCCTCCCTCGGCCCTCTCTCCTCGCATACTTCCGATGATGGGATTTTTGGGTCGATTCGCTTGCCCTCGCTCTCCATTGCGAGTCACTTGTTGAGGACCCCAGTACTCGGAAACTGGCCTTCGGGATCCCGACATGGGGGGTATATATGGGGGGTGGCGCATTGTGACCTGCAGCGCCCCAGTCTTTCAAAGTTGCTTCCCGCGATCTACGGGACCCTCTGGGCGATTAGTTACGTCCATGGACTTCAGACTTCAGGAGTCTCGAGGAGGTTCAAAGGAATCTCGAGGGCCTTTCCCACAGCATCCAGGTGGCCGGGGGAGGTAAGGGATGAGGAAAAAGACGGAGGTGCAGGCGGAGGAGGAGGGGGGGTGTTTCCAGGATGTTCGTAGACATTCTGGGCCAAGGGAACTACGAAAGCCATCGATCAGCAATGGCGGATAGCAGAGAGTCTGTGCTGGGCGCAACGGTCGTGAGGCTGCTTGACCAGCGTTTGGATTTGCGCGACAGACAGGAATCACAGCATTCGCAGCTGGACCATCGGAGGAAAGCTGCCCTTGAGATCGAGCAAAAGGTGCGTGCGCTTGCAGGCGATACGTACGAAATCAAACGAATATTAGATTGCCTGCAGCGAGATTATATAGAAAATCATCGGGATCCGAGCTGCAGGAAAGGCGGCTTGATCGGATTGGCCTCAGTTGCGATCGGGCTCGATAGTGAAGTTGGGAAGTTTCTGCAGCAGCTTGTGGACACAGTGTTGAAGCTGTTCGAAGACGGTGATAACAGGGTCCGGTATTATGCTTGCGAGGCCCTGTACAATATCGCGAAGGTGGCTAGGGGTTCAGTGCTCGCACACTTCAACGACATCTTTGACGGCCTTTGCAGACTGTCCAGGGATGACGACACAGAGGTCAAGCATGGAGTACAAGTCTTAGACACGCTAATGCAGTCCATTGTCACCGAAAGTCACTCGATGCTTCAAGTGCGGAAGTTTGTTTACCTACTGGCAGACCGAATGCAGCACAAGAGTCCGTTCATCAGGAATATGTGTTTATGTTGGATTCAGTTGTTGCTCAAGGTGCCCGAGGCAGACGTCGTAGTGTATCTCCATGTGTATTTGAAGGGCATCTTCACAATGCTTGGGGATCAATCCCGCGAGATTAAGGTCAACGCCGACGCGTGCCTGATAGAATTGTTGCGTGCCGTGACGTCCAGCGAGCGTCAAACAGCTTTCCAGATTATTTCGGAAACGGCGGCGATTGTCGTGGGGTGTTGCGTTAGTGCCGAGTCTTGCGAACGGCTCACCTCGCTGTGTTGGGTGCATGAGTTCGTACGCTTCCAGACCCACAACCACGCATGGTGCTCAGAGAACTGGGTGAACACTCTACCAGAACTTCTGGCTGGAACACTTGTTTGTATCGATGGCCCAGAAGACGAGATCAAGCGTATGGCCGTAGAGACGAACGGCGAGTTGTTGGAATTGACTCACAGGTTTGCGAACGAGATGAGAGTCGAGCCATTTGTCGACAAGCTTCTTTCTCATCCGTATACGCTGCCGCGCAGATCCTCCACCCGGATTGGGGGCTAGCTTGGGTGTTCAGAGCCGCCGCACGGTGCAGCGTTTCATTGTTGTTTCGTGTTTGCCAGTGGGCGCTTTGAGTGTTGCATAGGTGTATGAGTGTACATGTTCGAAGGCGTTCAGACCGTCTATGCGGGTCCGACGGAGGAGCAAGATGTCGCAATGCGTGACTTTTGTGCGTGGTGGTTCGCAAGGCAGCTTAGACAGAACGGAGAGTGCTAGTACTAGTGTGGACGAATAGGATCGCGCGAGCAGGAGGGGGAGGGGGAGGGGGAGGGGGAGGGGGAGGAGGAGGAGGAGGAGGAGGAGGAGGAGGAGGAGAAGGAGGAGGAGGAAGAGGTGGACTGGTAAGGGTAGCGAAAATGTTCGAGAGTGGTTGGGCCGAGGCCACATTGACTCATAGCACGGCTTTTGCGTCGCTGTCGCGATGCTCATAGGGGAATTATCCGGGGCCTCCTGGAGGACTGGGGGTCTCTTCAGGGGGGCCTGTTGGGCCCCATCGAGGGCATCTTGGGGTTCAGTTGGCAGTATTTTGGGGGCCTTTGAGAGCTTGGGGACGGGTCCCGGGGGCTTTTGGGAGCCGTCCAGGAGCGGTCTTCGGCCATCGTATGGGCGTTTGGGCACGCTTGGGACTCACAGGTGGGAGGGGGCTTCGGGACCGCTGGTGGGCTATCGGGAGGCGGTCGGCAGCGGCTGGGAGGTCGTCGAAGGGCCGACCACATATGTTTGGTGGCAATGCAAACGCTTCTGCACACTCTGGATCGGTCGCAGAGTATTGGTGTGCCCACATTGTTTGGCTGGCCAATTATTCTTCACGTTTCGCGTATCCCCACCAGCTTCCGTAGCCCCTGGCTCAATCAAGCCCCTGGCTCAAGCCCTGGCTCAAGCCGCTCTGGCTCGAGGTGAGCCGAGCCGGTTGCGCGCCTGGGGCTGGAGGTGCTCCGACCGCCGGTTCGCCTAGTGGGGGCCAGGAAGACGCGCGTCGTCTTGGCCTCCCCCCTCCGCCCCCGCCCGCGCCATGTCGCCGCGCACGGTTTGCTGGCGGCAGCAGCGGCGGGCGGCGGCCGCGCGCCGGGCCGGCACCGCCGTCGCGGCCGCCGAGGCCGCTGCGGCGCCGCCGCCTGGCCTGCCGCTACACTCGGCTGCCGCTCGGCCGGGGCCGCCGCCGCGGCCGCTGCCGCGGCCCCTGCTGGCAGCGCGGCCGCGCGGCCCACCGCGGCCGCCGCCGAGGCTGCTGCCGGGGGCCGCTGCCGCCGCGGCGGCTGGCCGCTTGTCGGAGGCCGCCGCCGCCGAGGCCCGCGCGGCTGCCTGGGGGCCGGCCGCCGCGAGCGCCACTGCCGCGGCCGCCGGCGCCGCTGCCGCCGCTGCGGCCGCGGCCGCGGTGGCCTCAGCGGCCGCCGCGGCCGCTGGCGCGGCCAACCCGCCCGTGGAGGGACCCATGGCGTCAGCAGCAACAGCAGCACCCTGGCGACAGCAGCAACGGCCCAACCGCAGCCCCCTGGTAACAGCCCCCTGGCGTCAGCAGCGACAGCAGCAGCAGCAGCAGCAGCAGCCCCCTGGTGACAATCAGGAAGATGTCCCCTGGTGTCAGTCAGGAAGCGCGGCCCTCTGCTGCAAAAGGAACGCGGGTCCTTCCGGAGACAACATCGTGGCGACAGCTGGCAGCGATGCAGAGGGCGTGCCCGCGCTCGGATACGTTCCCCACAATTCTGACAGTCAAGAAGACGCCCCCGCAGGCCTACAGCTGCAGCAGGGACGCACCCCCTCCTGGAGACAGCGTTGCGGCCGTAGTGGGCGGCGCTGCTGAGGGCGCGCCCGCGCTCGGAGACGTTCCTCACAGTTCTGAGAGTCAGGGAGAGGTATCCGGAAGCGCTGCCTCCAGCTGCAAAAGGAAAGCGCCCCCTCCTGGAGACAGGGTCGCGGCGACAGTCGGCAGCGCCGCAGAGGGCGCGCCCGCGCTCGGAAACGCTCCTCACATTTCTGACAGCCAGGAAGAGGTATCCGAAAGTGCGGCCGCGAGCTGCAAAAGGAACGCGCCCCCTCCTGGAGACAGCATCGCGGCGATAGTTGGCCGCGCTGCAGGGGGCACGCCCGCGCTCGGATACGTCCCTCGCAATTCGGACAGTCAGGAAGGTGCATCCGAAAGTGCGGCCGTTAGCCGCGAAAGGAGCGCGCCCCCTCCTGGAGACAGCAGTGCGGCGATAGTTGGAAGCGGTGCACGGGGGCGCGCCCGCGCTCGGAGACGCCCCCCCAATTCAGACATTCAGGAATTTTGATCCGAAGGTGCGGCCATCAGCTGCAGCAGTCCTCTGGGGGTGCTCCAGCCTGAACAGGCGGCCGTCCGCCGCCGCGTGTCGCGCCCCCCCCCCCCCCCCCCCCCCCCCTCATGGAGGCAGGCAAGCTGGCGCTCCTACATCCCCTCGCTCCTATCAGCATCCCTCGGGCAGCGTCGCTGTGGAGGCGGAAGGTGCGGCCGAAACGGTGCCCCGCCCTGGCAGCAGCATCGCGGCGACAGTCGCGAGCGCTGCAGAGGGCGCGCCCGCGTTTGGAGACGTTCCCCGCAAATCTGAGGGTCAGGAGATCATATCGGAACGCGCAGCCTTCAGCTGCAGCAGTCCTCCGGGCCAACCGCAGACTGAAAAGGCGATCGTTCGCAGCAGCGTGTCGGCCCTTTCCCCGTCCGGGGATAGGCAAGCAGGCGCTCCCACAGCGCCTCACTCCTACCAGCGTCCCTCGGGCAATGTCGTTGTAGAGGCAGAAGATGCGAGCGACAGCGCGGCCCCTCCTAGCAACAATATCGCGGCGACAGTCGAGAGTGCTCCAGAGGGCGCGCCCGCACCTGGCGACCTTCCTCACACAATGGTTCGTCAAGGGTCCGCGGCGGAGCGTGCATCCTTTAGCTGCAACAGTCCCCTGGGAAGTCTACAGGTGGCCGTCTGCCACAGCGCGCCAGTCCCTTCCTTTCCTGGAGATAGGCAAGCAGGCTCTCCCACAGATTACTGTTCTCCCATTATTCATTCATCATCATGCCATGATCACACCGCGACCATCGGGCAGCAACATCACCGGCGTCATCACCACCCGCGCGCGCCACCTTCGTCATCACTTTCACCACCCCATCAGGATCAGCGACTAATGGAAACCTCGCCCGTGATTGAATCGTGAGGGGGTCTCGAGCGGGAGCCCCGTCCCAATGGGGCCCGCACCTCGCGTTCGAATCCGAGTGGGCCATCGGAACTTTGTAACCGTCATCATTTTTGCGCGCTCTGGCCTGAATGTGGAGGAAGTCTCAGGCGGGAGCCTCGTCCGTGAGTGAATTGCGAAGAAGTTTCAGGCGGGAACCCCCTCCCTTGGGGTCCGCATTTCATATCGGTAATCCGAAACGTTCATGGGGATCCTGTATCTGTTGTCTGTTGTGGGCTCATCAGGCGGGACTCTCGTCTATGAGTGAACTGCGGGTCAGGCCGGAGAGCCCCCCCCCTATGGGGCCCGCAGTTCATGTTGGTAGTCCGAGCGGGTTTCCGGAACCTTGTAGTTGTCGTCATGCTCGGGCTCCTCAGGCCTGAGGGTGGAGTACGTCTCAGACGGGACGGTCGTCTGTGAGTGAACTGCGAGGACGTCTCAGGCGAGAGCCCCCTCCCAATTGTGTCCGCACTTCATGTTGGTAATCCGAACGGTTCATCGGGATCCTGTAACCGTCGTTATTGTTTGGCCCCCCTGGATTGAATATGGGGCAAGTCTTGCAGGGGGGCGTTTGTGACTGGGCAGCGAGGATGTGTCAGGCGGGAGCCCCTCTACCTATAGGGTTCGTATTTCACAATTGGTAATCCAAGCGGGTCATCGGCAAATTCTACGTGGCAAAACATTGAGCACCCCAGAGTGGCACGAAATGAGGCGTTCCTGGCGCGTCCGTGAATGAGTTGCAAGGAAGTGTCAGGCGGGAGCCCCCTCCCTCGCCTCGAGTCGCCCGGATTGACAAGGGGGGGGGCTGAGGCGGTGCAGCTCGCGGCAGAGCTGAAATTCGTGTTGGTTTTCGCTTGAGCGCGGCCGCGACAAACTCAGTGCCTTCGGGCTTGTCCCAATGGATAGCTTTTGCGCCCCAGCGGTTCGCGGGGTTGTCCCACTGGCCGTTGCCCCGACGGTTTCGCGACTTTGCCATCGGGGAGCGCGCCCCTGCCGGGCGCGGCGGCGACGAGGGCGCCGAGGAAAATCGGCATGCGCCCCGCCGGGAGGAAACAGGACGGATGGAAACGAGGGGGGGGGAGACGGAGGAGGAGGAGGTTGAGGAGGAGGCGGAGGAAAAGGGACGAAGAGGGAGAGGATACATTGAGCAAGGAAGGCGAGCAGGACGAGGATGCGGAGGACGAGGAAGACAATGAGGGTGAGGAGGAGGCGCAACACATGGGGACACGGGGGGCGTTGGCAAGGGCGAAGAGGAAAGAACGAAGGGTAATATACATTGATTCTCGTGCGGGGTCCTACAGTCGGAGTATATCTGACTCTTCCGCGTCTTGTTTCACTCCCTCGCGTTTCCCCTCCCAGGCCGGTCCAGGCACAGACCCAAACTCATATCTACCCTTGCGCATACCAATCGCACGGAGTCTCACTCGCACTCAAACTCACTCATGCTCAGACTCACGCGCTCACATACCAACTGGTACTTAGACAGCTGATACTCATATCCGCTCGCGTTCAGACTCATGCTCGGACTCCCCGTCTGACCATTCATACCCAGTCTCGGTCCCTCTCAGACTCTCGCTGACGCATACGGATCCCCATATAACACATACATGGTATATGTGTACCTATGTATATATACACATTTTCATACATATATATATATATATGTGTGTAGAGAGAGAGAGAGAGAGAAATAAAGAAAGGCAGACCGATTAATGTGTTTGCCACCTGCCATGACGATTAAAACCATACCCGGGCGAACCCACTCTACACCTAAAGCAACGCAGTGCCTTCTAACATGACTTGTTCTGCCGTCGGCGATGCCGACTGCGCCTCAGAAGTTGGTCGGAACGCGCATCGCGCGTGAAAGGGGCGAAACGTCGCTCTCGCCAGCCATGGCGCCGCGCTCATTTCTGCTCGATGTGAGCTTCCGTTTGGGCGCGGCGCATTTGTTCGCCCGCCAGTCCGCTGACGCGCGAGAGGACACACATGCCGCTGTCGCCTCGGCGCCGCGCGGATTTCGCACGAATATGGCGCTCCTGCCTCCGCGCGGTGTAACAACTTCAC